ATTGCTATACGCGGGTTGAAACCTTGTACCCCAAGCGCGTAAAATACAAGTTTTACCGACTCGGCAACCGTACGTCGCTGAAAAAATTGGCTATTTAAGCTAGTTCAAATTTCAGTTATTTTTCTCGATTTCAAAAAGAAAAAAAAAAATTAAATTAGTTTAACTTTCTATGCTATATCAATTTTTTTATTTATATAATATTTATGAAAATCTGTACACCCCTTGTCAGGTATTTAAAAATAAAAAAAAATACAAAATCCAGAATTTTAACACAAAAATTAAGTTGAAAAAGTTACCATTTTGAAATCCTCTCTGTAAGCAGGTAAAAGATCAGATTTATAAAAAAAAATATACCAAATGATAGGTAAAGACATCAAGCATCTATAAAAAATAATTATATTGATTTGTTCATTTTTAAGAAATTTATGGCAGTTTTAAGTAAACAAGTTGAAAAAATTTTGAAAATTAGCGATTTTTTGGGGGATTTCCCCTGTTTACGGGAATGAGATAATTTTTTTCAAATTTGAGGGTAATGTCTTCGACTTGATACAATTTGTGATCTTTTGACATATTTTTCATCAAAATCGGTCCAGCGAGAGTGGAGATTGAGCGTATACAGACACAAAAATAAATAAATAAAAAATAAAAACACATCATAGTAAAATTAATACCTTCTCAGCTTCGCATCGTAGCTAAATTATATACGTCATTTTTTTAATACATAGAAAATGTAATTATTCCAATTTATATGAAATTAAGGAATAAGCATGATCATACAAACTTCAATCAAATTCTCAACATTAATCATTACTACTAATGCGATCATTGCCTATGATTGTTCTACTAACAATATAAACATAACAGCATTCAACAGTCTTTCAGTAGATGATTGTGAAAAACCAATTCCGACAAAAACTCAAATAATCAAAAGACTTAAATTATTGCAAAGGGCTGAAATACATAATCTAAATTATAGATCATGTTTTATTTCAGTGGATTACTTAATTCTTAAATGTTTTACTTTAGAGATTTACAGGGTCTTCCTGATGGGTATTATTCTGAGATATTAGAAATAGGGTGTGCACGATATGATCGAATGCATAAAAAATTAATATTCCAAGTTCCATCGAGTGGGATTGTACATAATCTTAAAATTAATCATACTACACAAACATCTCACTTAGTAGCTGGGTTAATAGATCATAAAGGTAACTGCAAAGGAACTAAGTTTATAACAGCTAGAGGAACATGGGACAAGGCTGTAGTACAAACAAAATATAAAATTACATTAATCGATGGTTTCGCAATTGCTAATTTTAAAGAAAATTATTTAATTTTACCTAGTGGTACTAGATTATTTCTTTCTGAATCCTACGGATTTTATTATTTTAAAGGAAAAGTCATATAGGATCTTATTTCGCATAATTGTCATTTTGAATATGACGTATTATATGATGGACCAACGTCCATGATATTTTCGAAAATTCTGCAGAAACTCAAACTTCCTTATTTGAAACTGAAAGAATAGCGTTTGCTTCAAAATTTATTAAATATACATTTATTTGTGATCTTTTGGTTATACAAACAGTACATCTCCAACTTTATATATTACTCAATGAAAATTATATTGATTAAATAAAGAAAAAACAAAATCCACTCATAATATAGATTTACTTGCATATGTAAATACCAAATTTGTATGGGTTGAACATCCTATTTTTAAAATACTGTCTGAATTACACATAGATATCATTATAAAACAATGCATGCTTGAGAGAAAAATATTAATTCAAAAATTATCTTTAGCTTCTGATAGATTTCTGAATTGGCTTGGAAAAAGTCTTGGATGCATGGCAATACAAAGTGGAGAAATTATATATCTCATGAAATATAAACCAGTACAAGTTGAATTAGCAAAGAAAGAAACTTGCTTTCGTGAATTATCTGTAATATTTCACAATGTCTCATACTTTATAACACCAAAATCTCATATTTTGCAAACATTTGGTATTGTAATAATATGTAAAAAAATTTTACCTTCAGCCTATTTTTTAGATAGGGATTGGTTTGGATTAATCCCTCCCTTAATCGACATTAAAAGTCCGCAAAATCTAAGTCCAGAAATCAAATTCACCTGAGCATCTAATGTCTGCTGGTATATATAAATAGGGATACCATGCAAGCCTTACAAAGACATTTAATGTTTCCTCAGGAAATAAATGCAATTCAAAATAACATAATTCGTCAAACATTAAGATATAAAATGAGTGGACAACAGTTAAATCTTAAGTAATATGATAGAATCAGTCCGGCTTATACATTCGTTGTAGTAATAGGAAATTTGATTCGATCAAATGAATCAACTCTTTCGAATCAGATCATTTAAATGAATCGATTGTTTGAATCAATTCAGTGATTCAAACAATAATTATTCATATTGAACTTAATTAAGAGATTAATGTTTTATTATGATAATGTTTAGACAATAAAAGATCAAATAGTTATACAACGATGTTAATGATCATTATTTTTTTTGATAGTAAATAGTAACAGTTGGTATTTTGGGGGGTCAGATATAACATTTTTTTATTATGCATTGTTTTTTAAATCCCGTTAAAAATATTCCTAGTCAAAAAAGTGGTATAATAATATGTGGCAATGAAAACAGTAAATATTTTTATTGTTTTGCAGGAATGTTTATAACAATTATTTCATTAGATATTATATTACACACAATTATATAAAATATATTTATAAAATACATATATATTAGTGTTTCAAAAAATTATATTATTTATTTTTTGTTTCAAAAAACATAAAAAAATCGTTAAAGTATCCCTAAACAAGGTTCCTGTTGAAATACGTATACAACATTGTTTTGGGTTACTATACTTTAGTACATGATGGCAAGTTCAAACATGTTAATGCAAGTTAAAGTTGCTTAATACTATGATTATGATTATGATAATAATCATCATTCACATCAGTGAACAGAGTAATTTGTTCGAAGTGCTTTATATTTTTCAATATAAAATTGGATTTTTGTTTCAAAATGATTCGTAAAACTAGTGTAATTTGGGATTATTTTATAATAGCTGACAATGACAAAGCTAAATATGGTTTATAAAAAATAATTCTTAAATTTAATCAATCGTCAACAACAAATTTGTTAAGACACATTAAATCAAAACATCAGACAATTGATTTGTCCAAACGTCAAAGGCCTAATTTTGATCTGGAAGAAAATAATCCAGATGACCCTCTTACTTGTGACATCATATCAGCATCAACATCATCCAATCCAGGTACACCATTAATTTCTTCAGCTAATAGAGAAAGATCTCCCATTTCTTATCATGAGTCATCATTATCAAATCGTCCACAACAATCCCATATTTCTAATTATTTGAGCAAACCAGTAACTGCATCTAAAAGACAATTAATTGAACAGGTAATAAAAATGGTAGTTAAAGAATATTACCCATTCAGTATTGTTGATGATGTTGAATTTAAAAAACTTATACATATGTTGAACCCTGAATATTCTCTTCCACGTAGAAAAACCATTTCGACATCATTATTGCCTGTTCTTTGTAATAAAGTGCATAAGAGGTCCAATCGACCTAGAATTGAATGCACAGTATGTTGTCCAAACAATGCATGCAATAAATGCATGGACATCTGTAAAATTTGAGAATTATATGTCAATTACTATACATTTCATTAATCAAAAATTGCATTTTAAAGTTATATTTATTTTCGTGTGCTGCTTTTAAAATGAGACACACAAGCGAAAACATAAAAGATTTCTTATAAAGTACAGTTAGGCAATGGGGTTTGCAAAATTAAGTAGCGGCTTGTACTACTTACAATGCTGCAAACATTACTTCAGCAATTCATTTATGTCAGTGGAGACATATCTCATGCTTTGCTCATACCCTAAATCTTATTGTACAATCTTCTCTTGAACAAATAAAAGAAACTAGATCTCAAGTTAAAACTACTGTGAAATATTTCAAAAGAAGTACATTTGCCACTGAAAAATTAAACCAAATGCAGGAACAATTAGGTTATTCTCCAGTTTATACACTGATACAAGACGTAGTCACTCGGTGGAATTCCACGTTTCATATGTTTAACACGGTTTTTGGAATAAAAAATTCCATTATTATCATCTTTAGCTGATTTAAATTATGATGTTAATTTAACTACTTAAGATTGGCAAATAATAAGTAAATATTGTCACATACTAAAACATCTTGAGGAAATAACTCTTGAAATGAGTAATGAGTAACAATATCTAAAATAATTTTATTTAGCCAGGCATTAATTAATTATTGTAATAAATTAATGACACAATATCAGTCAATTCCAACAATAAAAAATTTTATAAATAATTTAACGGAAGAGACCAATAAGAGATTTGGTGAAATTTAAAAAAATATATTATTAGCTGAGGCTATATTATTGGATCCTCGGTTCAAAAAATATGGATTTAAAAATCCTACTGAATTATACTGAATTAGATGCTAAAAGTTCTTTAATAAAAAAAAGGAAAAGTTTTAATAAATGAAAAAAATATTCAGCAAAATAACTTATTACCTAACACAAATTCACCAACAAATGAGCCGTTCGCTGCAATAATGACTTAAGTGACAAATCATAGTTTTGAGAAAACACGGTTTAAAGATTTAAAAGTGTATTATTTTAAGGAGAAGAGCGAGAATTAGAAAACTAAGTTTTTCAAATGTAAGTAGCAGTATCATACAATGAAAATTCATGATCAAAGAACTAAAATTTTAATGTTTTAATTGTTAAATAACCGTTTAAATATTAAATCACTTAGGTCGTTATTCAGGCGAACGACTAAAAGTTATTGATTTTTTCAAATAATCAGTCATAAAATTATAATTATTATTCACTTTAACTAAAATACTTATAATAATACTTTTTTAACATATTTTTTTATTGAATATCAGTACAATATTGAGTTGAAAAAAAAAGCCATTTTTTAGTTACATTACATCAGTTACAAAATTACATTTTATTATTAAATATTTATAAAAAATCATCATTGGACTCAAACTCTGATTCATTCTCATTTACCTCGCACTCAGCAAAAGCTCCATCATAAAAATTACGGTTCTCAGATTTGAGAAATCGCATAAAAGATAAAACATCATTCTTTTTAGGTTGTGGTAAAGCAATTTTGGGAGTTTTTTGCAAATTTAACTCTTCTTTTTGAGGAACAAAACTTTCCTTTTAAAATATTTAAAAGTGTGGCCAGGTTCATCAAAGTCCTGATAAGCTACCAAAGTTTTATTTGGTTTGAATATTAATTTTACATACTTCTGAATAGTAAAGGTACTGCCTTTCAATGCAGGCGCTTTTAAAAAAAGAGGTTCCAAAGCCGACTCCCAATCTTCAAGTAAAGAAGAAGATATCTTAGCTTCGAATGGACTGGGCCTCGTTCTAGAAGTTTGCATTAAATTTAAATAATCTTCGACTGTTTCAATTACTTCATGCCTTTTCAACACAGTACCGTAACAGCCAAAGTTTCTGTCACACTGACAGTAACTGTGACCGCGAATTGGTAAAATGTGCGTTATGGTTATTCCTTGAGTTTTATTTTTATTTTGACCTCCACACGAATCTGATAAAAAGATAATATTTTTTGTTTCAGGACTTTTAATTATTTTTTCATTTACAAAGCTGTACATAAAACTACAAACGGAGTTTGCGTTTTGTTTGCCCTCAGATTCAAGAAAACAAAAAAAATTTACTTGATTCGTCGTTGAAATGATGAGTATTAAAAACGTACATGTTTAGTTGGCGTTTATAATATGCCGAATTCACATTTAGTTGTTTTGGGAGAGGTAAATTTTGAGCATAATCAAACTCAATCACGGATGTCTTAAAGTTGTCATTTTTTGCAGTTACTTTCACAAGATTATTTCTTAAAGCAGCATTTTTTTTGAAACTATTTACATGACTATGATATTTTTCGGCACAAGGGTCATTTGGATTTGCTTCCTATTTTATGTTACACTCGGTGCAAAAGTCGCAAACGTCAGTTTTGCGCGCACGCACTGAATAATCTGAATTCTTACGAAAATATTTGTGATAAGCTTTATATTTTAGAGTAGCAGATTTTCCTATTTTTTCTTGGTAATAACTCAAAAACGAGGAATGCAAAACTTTTACCGTTATGTTTGGGTTTGTAAAAAACTTTCTTTCTGTTTTTTTACCTCCGTAATGTGACTTTTTATGAGGTATAAGGAACCAATGCTCTTTAACTAAGGCCCAAACTTCATCAGGTATTTTTTTAGGATTCGGCTGTTTGCCACGATTTTCTGTAGCTTGGGAAACGCCTTGTTTGCAAAACCTTAATACGGTCTTCATTCTGCCATCGCTGATTTGATATAAACTAATAAGGAACTCTTTACACACACTTATATCTTTTCCATGTAATTTTAAACTGTACTTCCACGAAAACTCTCGGTTTTTTGTTACGGGAGCCAGTTTATGACGTTTAACTCCTTCACGATGTGCACAACTCATTAAATAAGTATCCTGCTTTTCTTTATCTTGTGAAACATAAAAATTTCTAAAAAACTCTTTTTGGGGATCTCTATTAAAATTTGAAAAACATTGGGCCCGACAACAATGTTCTATCTTTCTAAACTGTTTACGAGATACATAATTTCCAGCTATATTTTTATACGCTTTGCCGCTGTTACGTTTATCTTTTCTTTTGTTACGGGCCCATTTTCCATTTTTTAACTTTCTTTTTAACCCCGGATTGTCACTAGCCATGGAAGTTGAAGTTGTTGATGTTGATACATCCATAGCTGTTATTCTTCAAGTGGATAATATTAAACAATAGTTATTTATAAAAGCCTCTGTATACTAACGCACTATGCTAATCAGCTGTTACACGGGAATGAAACTGTGAATTGGCGCAGCGCTTTCATTTACGCGCCTATATTCATTTGTTCACCACGACCTCAATAATTGATATTTTTTTATGAAATTTGGTAGGGGTACTTATGAATAGTTTATCTACCCGTTTCCAGTGTCGCCCGAAAAACGATCTAAGTGACCTTAGGCAGCGAACTGCTCAAATAATAATAGTCCAAGCAAAGAGAATTCAATTTGAAACGACTTTTATTTGGAAGTAACTGACATAGTTCAATCTCGAGATCCCAAAGCCTTGATGATTATTGAAATTGATAAATATCTTCAAAAACCTTTATTACAAAAGACAAATGATCCATTAAAATGGTGGAACGAAAACAAAAACGTTTATCCAAATTTGTTTGAATTAATGAAAATGCGTTTTTGTATACAAGGTACTTCTGTTCCTAGTGAACGTGTATTTTCCAAAGGTGGCCAAGTTATGTCAGAAAAAAAAGGCAGACTCAAAAGTAAAAGGATTAAACAAATAGTATTTTTAAATTTAAATTTTAAATAAATAAGGTATACTTGACACTATATTTTTTTTTTACATTTTTTAATTGTCCTAAACAAGACAACTCATCCCCTGTATGCCTTCATTGTAAAGGTCCACACGAAGCAACGGATCTATCGATTATGTCCAGAATGGGCGCATCAAAAAGAAATTAAAAAAGTTATGGCTACCAAAAATATTTCTTACAATAACGCAACTTTTATTTAAAAAAATAATATTGTTAATAAGTCTAAAACTTTTTCTAATTGTGTTTCAGAAAATGTTTGTATTACTAATAATACTAGTGCTCCTGTTCTTTTGGACTCCTTTCCGAGTTTGATAGACATTTCCTCTAAAAAAAATAAATCTAAAAACTATGACAATCATAATAAAAACAGCTCTCTTCCTGTCCATACATTACCTCCCACTTTAAATAACAATAACGTTTGGTCCTAATGGTTCTTTCCTCGATTACATGTCTAGTTATTCATTTGCTCAATCTGCTAAAAAATCGTGAATTACTTCTCTAGCTAGCCAACTCTCCTTTTCTGTTTCGAATATTTCCCCTTCATTACTATCAACCCCATCCACCCTTAACCATCTAATTGAGTCTCACATTTTTAACTTTTTTTCTTCATCACATAATAACAGTTTAAAATAATAAAAATGAAAAAAGGAAATTTTTTTTCCTTTTCTCCTATTTTTAGCTTGGATGCGAAGTTGAGAAGGTATTATTATAAACATACTTTTTTTGTAATCTAATTATTTAAAATATAAAATTGTTTAGTATAATTATAGTACTATTATTAATTGAGTAGAACATAAATATAGTTTATAATTATATAAACGTATTAATAAAAATTATTTAGCTTCAATGCGAAGCTGAGAAGGTATTAATTTTACTATGATGTGTTTTTTTCTGTGTCTGTTACCACTTTTTCTCAGCTCTCACCGAACCGATTTCTTTCAATCATACGTCAAAAGATCACAAATCGTATCTAGTCAAAGACATTACCCTCAAAAATTGAAAAAATTTCCCTCGTTCCCCGTAAATGAGGGAAACCTCCAAAAAAATTACAAATTTAAAAATCCCTAATTTTTGAATTTTTTTCAATTTTAGCTTCTATGCGAAGCTGAGAAGGTATTAATTTTACCATGATGNTGAATACATCGCGAAAAGTTGATTTAGAATGGTATATTTTTGTTACTGATGAAAGTTCCTTGTAGTTCAGTGCATTTATTTATAGTAACAAACAGTTTTTATTGAAATTTATTGTATCAAGCCCTTTAAATTTTTATTTAAAATAAAGCAAAATACAACTTCTTTATTATTTTGATAATTTCTCCGTTTAAATTACAATATTAAATTATTGAATATCAATTTCATACTAAATTTAATAATTATAATTAGTATTTATTTATATACTATATTTTAAAATCAATGAACTACTAATTAGGATATAATTAAAGAAATAAGAGTTGATGTTGCTTTTGGAATAATCCACCAATAGCTCTAAATGAAACATTACCTACAGATTTGCATCGAAGCGTTTCTTATGATAGTGATTTTAATCACTGTCAAATATCATCTATACTTGTCCCATCTATGCCTTGTCTACACTGTGCCTCGACCCCACTGTGCTACGAAAAAAAATAACCAAGACTTGAGATTTATTGTTTATAATAGATTTGTTACAAAATATAGAAACTTTTGAAAAAATGGAACATATTTTTATTTAAAATAAAGGTATTTAGTAAGCTTTAGTTTAACTTGTCACAGGGTAGTTAGCCGAACGGTAAAGTGACCATTGGGATCCTCTATGGCACCTGGCACACCATAGAGTATACAGCCTTATCACAGTATCGAGCTCTGCTGTGATGGACCTTTATTTCTCGACAACTCGTGGGAAATATATGGATAAAAACATAGAAAAACCACAAAACAACGAACTTGTGACGATCAGGGATCCTACGGACAACCTGTCGGAACAAGATCGTGAACTGGCGACTCTTCGCATTTTGAAGAACTTGCAGTAATATCAACCAAAGAGGATAGGTTATAATGGATCTATTGCTGACTACAGACCTAAGTATACTGAATAGAAGTAGTGAACCTACTTTTGTTATCAGGAACAGGCAGGAAGTCATTGATCTGACAGTTTGTTCAAAAGGGTTACTATAAAAGATAAAAGGGTGGAAAGTGTCCTCCGAACCTTCTCTTTCTGATCATAGGCACTTACGATTCACTTTGGAAATTAACAAAGTTGAGACGTAGTACTATAGGAATCCGAAAAGAACAAACTATTGAATAGAGCCGTGAAAGACTTAGTTAAATGATGTATCCTTATTGAATATAGAGTTATTAATGAAACACCGGTTTATTCCGTGATTATTAGATCGTTATTTTCAAAGTTGAAGCTACCACAGTGAAGACATTCAAATCAGTAGATTGAACGAGTTGAATCCCATGATATTACTGTTTGTAAATTTATTTATAGTTTAATTTATTAATTGTAACTGCATTTGTACTTGGAGACGCCCATTATATTTATTAATATTTATTTATTATAAACAGAACAAGATACCATATTTTTCTATAATATATACAAATAATAATTGTACGAATGTCAATCTCGTTTATTTTATATTTGGGTATATATTTGTTTAATTAATTTGTTTCTTCCGTGTTGATTATTATCAGTCATATGGACCAACCGTTATCGTAGGAGCCCGTTGGCCAACAAAGACTATAACTCTAAAATTTTTCTGAAAATAATTGTATATTTTATTTTTGTTTCAGATATTGATTGTAGTTGTGTGGGACAGACTTCCGAACTTTTGTATTATTTACACCATTATATTTTATGTCGTGTTAATTTTTAATTAAATACAATTTTTTTCTTTAAAATAATTTTTTTTTAATTATTTAAAATTAACTTAAGTAGTTATTTATTTTATTTTATTTTACTGAAATAATTTTAGCTTTTACTATTTTAACTTATAAAAAAAATATTTTCATTTTTTCTTTTAATCTTTTTTCTGTTTTAGATAAATTTGGTCTTTGTCTTAACGTTGCATTGACTAATTCTAGTCTTCTAGCCTTTACGTTGCTTCAGTGATGGCATATTGAAGGGAATTTCCCGGAATGCAGGGAAATTTTCCTAAACGGGAATGCAGGGAATCTAAAGCAAAAATGATCCTTAAAACGGGAAATTTTGTATTCCTAAAATTGTATTTTTTTTATTATTTTATAAAATTATATTTTGGTTATTTCGATTTTTCATGTAACTTAACTCATACATTTTATAGATTCTATATATATATATTTATGGTTGGTACATATTATAAGTGGTTGGTAACTTCACTATTATTTTACTGTAATCTGTAGTTAGGTACAAATATTATAATGAAATTTGTAATAATGATAACAGATTAAATTAATAATTTGGAGGTGTGTGTATTACACTCCAATAAAGAAAAGAAAAGAAATAATGAACAACGATTATTACAAACGTATATAAATGGTTTATTGCACTATGGAGCGTATTATTCTGTACAAAATATATAATTATAAAATAAAGATCTTAACATAAAAACGTGTATTAACAAGGTAGATGAGATCGTGTGTAGTATTATCACATAGAGCGGACGGGTCGCCACAATAACGACAATGTTATCATTTTAACTTGGAAACTAGATAAGATTTTAGATACAAATTTATTTTGATAGGTAAAAATATTAACTTTTTTGTTGACTTGTTAAGTTTTATTGATTCGTTAAATTTTTTTTCTTTCTTAATATCAAAAAAAATAAGTTACCATTGATAAATTACCATGGATTCCGATAATGATTGTGGACCATCAACTCCAAAAAAAAAGAGAGCATTAAGGAACGAACTATCAAAGGAAGAAAAAAAAAGAGTTCACATTAAATTATTTAGAAAAGAATGGCTTGAAATAAAAGATTATAAATTTTGGCTTCAAGAAATATCAAATGATAAAACTAAATGTAAATGTGTGGCATGTAATGTAGTGCTGGTAAGTGGAAAAAGCGAGCTAGCAAAACATAGCGAAGGAAAAAAACATTTATCAAATATTAAAAGCCTGAGAGGATCACAAAATCTTAAAGTTTTAACTAAAAATATAAAGTATGAAGATAAAAATAAAGATATAAAGAGTGCAGAAATTAAACTATCAGCATATTTTGCAAATCACAATATTGCATTTCAGGCTGTAGATATATTAACTCCTGTTTTGCAGGATATTTTTAAAGATTCAAAGGTTGCCCAGTCACTGACACTCCATCGAAAAAAATGTACAAGCATAATTAACAATGTTATTGCACCTGTAGAAATAAATGAACTATTGAAATTATTAGAACATGTCCCTTTTCAGTTCTGGTCGATGAAAGCACTGACATAAGCTCACATAAGTTTCTTTGCGTTCTTGTCCATTATGTCCACCCTAAAGCAGGAACTGTACATACTAGATTACTTGAGTTGGTTGCGATAGATGCTACTGATGGCAGCGCAAAAAAAGTTTATGAAAAATTTAAAAGCTGCTTGCAATCAAAACAAATTCCTATTGAAAACCTTGTTGGAATGGCTAGTGATGGAGCAAACATGATGGTGGGAAAAAACAATTCTTTTTTTTCACATTTGAAGAAAGATTGCCCAAATATAGTTCTGATGCAATGTATATGTCATTCAGCGGCTTTAGTTGCAAGCAAGGCAACAGAAAAATTACCTAGGTCTCCTGAAGATTTAATTAGATCGGTAATTATTAATTTTATAACTATATTATTGATTTTGTATCTAACATTAATTAAACTATGATTATAATTATTATCAGGTGGCTACTTACATATCGGGCAGTGCAAAAAGAACAGCAATTTTGCAAGAAATCCAAGAATTTTTCGGAGAACAAAAAAAAAAAATATTGAAGTTGGCAGACACTAGGTGGTTGGCATTACATCAATGTGTTGTAAGGATGCTAGAGTGTTGGAGTAGCCTTTCACAATATTTCCTGGTTGCTGTAACTGAAGATCATTTAAAAAGTGCTGAAATAATACTAGAATCCTTAAATAACAATGTCGTCAAAGCTTATTTTTACTTTCTTAAGTATTCTTTAAATATATTTAACTCTTTCAATGCTATGTTTCAAACTAACAAAATTATAATACATGAAATGTATTCAAATTCAATTCGGCTTTTAAAAACAATTTTACAAAATTTCATAAATCCTAAATATTTAGTAACAGATATATTTGATCAAGCATTATTTACTGATCCTAATAAATTTTTACCTGAATCAGAAGTATTTGTGGGATCCGAATGTGAAGAATTTATCAAAGCTTTTCCTAGAAATATTTTTATTGATTTCAAAAATACTTGTTTGAAATTTTATATCAAAGCTGCTGAAGAAATCGCAGAAAGGTTACCAATACATAATCTTTTTTTTAAAGAATTTAAATTTTTAAACCCTGAAACATGTTTTGACCCTCAAAAATGTAATACTACTACCAATCAGTTAGATAAATCAAAAGAAATATTTGGAAGTTATTTTGATGCATATAAAGTAATTGAAGAATTACGTGAAATACCTTATTTTTTCACAAATGAACAAATAGCTAATTTAAAAAAAATGAATATTTCTGAGATGTGGCATGAAATTGGAACAGTAAAAGATTTTACAGATGACAATTTTAAATTTAATAACATTTGTAAATTAGCCAAAATTATTTTAACATTACCTCATAGTAATGCTGCAGCGGAGCGAATTTTTTCAATCCTCACAGATTTGAAAACTAAAAAAAGAAATAGGCTTGCCGACAACACTTTAAATGCTGTGACAATTATACGTTCATCATTTCAAGATAAATATTTGACTACTGATAGTTTTGTTGTAACTGATAAACATTTACAACTACATAATTATAATATGTATAAAACATAATCTATAACGTAACTAAAAGACTGAATAAATTTAGTGATTTCTTTAAAAAAAATTTTGACTGATTATAACTTGATTTAGTAACTTAATTGTGATTTATGAACAATGTTCAATTTTAAGATTTTTTTTATGTATATTTTTATATAAGTGATTTTTAATGATTTCTTTAAAAAAAGTTATAGACTTTTACTAACTTGTTTTAGTATTTTAATTGTTATTTATGAACAATGTTCATTATTAAGATGTTTTTTTTATTTATATTTTTATATAAGTGGTTTTTATTGATTTCTTTAAAAAAAGTTATTGACTTTAACTAACTTGTTTTAGTATTTTAATTGTTATTTATGAACAATGTTCATTATTAAGATGTTTTTTTTATTTATATTTTTATATAAGTGGTTTTTATTGATTTCTTTAAAAAAAATTTTGACTGATTATAACTTGATTTAGTAACTTAATTGTGATTTATGAACAATGTTCATTATTAAGATGTTTTTTATTTATATTTTTATATAAGTGGTTTTTAATGATACCTTTAAAAAAAGTTGTGATTTATAAATAAACGAGTTGTTTACATATTTGTTGTTTGTTTATTAAATAATTTTATGTACTCCATTTGCGATTAATTTAAGAGTATTCTTGTACAGCTAGTAAAAGCTAGTAAAAATACACCAGGGATGGTCAGCATGAATATTTTCACAAGCTTCATAAATTAATACAAAGCTAATAAGATTCAAAATATTTATAAATACATTTTATAATTTTATATACTGTGATTTTATATTACAGTCATATTCCACTAGATGTCAGCACTGCAGGGAAATTTTGAGTAAAAACGGGAAATTTTGTTTCTATCTGCGGGAATATTGCCGATACTTTCATACCATCACTGCGTTGCTTGGACTATTTTATTTGGTCTTTGCTTATATATTGTTTAGGAAAATACTAGTTATTTTATCTTCTTAATTGTATAATAAATCAACGACAAAAATTTTAAATAACTTGATTTCTTAATAAATATTTTAAAATGGCAAGAAAAACTATTTAAATGAAATAGATAAGTATTTTTGTACTGATTATCCAGATCTTGAATTTAATAACATATCAAGATCTCATAATTGTGTTCTACCTATTTGTAATATAATTTAAAACTTCTTCCCTTCGTAAACTTATCGAATTAGTGAAACATAGTAAAGAAAAAAAATTACATCCATTTGTAGTGATCTTAATGATATGATGTTATGAATGTATTAAGATGCATAAACTCATTGAATTTAACAGCTAAAGATTTTGAATATCCCACTAGAACAGTTCTTAATAATATGTGTAAAAAGTTAAAAATTGCTACTAAACATAAAGATCATCGTAAAGTTCTAGAAAAATGTAGAAATATATTAAGATTAATTGCTTGGAAAATTATGTTGATAAATTAGTTGATTCTGATAGTTCTATAAAAAATAATAGCATATTTGAATCAACAGCTAACAATTTAAAAAGGTTGAAAACGGACAACCCACCTTCAATATTTTTAAGTACAGAAAATTCTTTTTCTGAAACTGTAACAAAACGAAATAACAATTTAAAAATTGATACTGTAACTACAGATATATCTAATATTGATAAATCTATTGCTCTATTCAACCAAAAAAATGCATATTTTTGAGAAAGTAATAGATTAAAAATAGAAAATGTCCATTTATGAGTGATTTTATATTAAAAAGTAAAGAATCCAACAATCATAGTACTCCAATAAAAGAATATTTTGATGATGGTAGTAAAATAACTCCTTTGAAACATAGACCCATTAAAACATACAAGCGTGTGACGATTCCTATTAAGAACGCCTGTCAAGTCTGGAGTAGTTTTACCAAAAGATAGTATAAATAATTACCCTGATAAAATTAGAAGTAACAATAACAAACGATTTAAAGATGTAATGTTAAAGAGGGATCATTCAAATTTAATGATGAGGAATGGTCATATATGACATTTAAAAACATATCAGAGAAATTTCATTTGATTAAAGAGACTTATACTTTAATGTTCCGAATGAGTAAAAACTAATTATTGCAAAAATGAAAAATTAGAACTAATCCTAGGTATAGATGATAATGCACACCACACTATTTGGGGGAGCAGTAACATCAAACAAAGAGGAGAGGTTATATTGGATCTATTGCTGACTACAGACCTAAGTATACTGAATAGAGGTAGTGAACCTACTTTTGTTATCAGGAACAGGCAGGAAGTCATTGATCTAACAGTTTGTTCAAAAGGGTTACTTCAAAAGATAAAAGGGTGGAAAGTGTCCTCCGAACCTTCTCTTTCTGATCATAGGCACTTACGATTCACTTTGGAAATTAACAAAGTTGAGACGGAGTACTATATGAATCCGAAAAGAACAAACTGGGACAACTACAGGGCAGATGTCTCTCAGACCTGAATAACCTACAGTTTAGATTGGGGTCGAGACAGAGTACTGAAAGGGCTGTAAATATACTACAGGACTCCATTGTCTCGGCTTACAAAGAAAACTGTGCTTTAATAGAAAGGAAAGGTACAGGACAGGGTGTAGCTTGGTGGAATGATAACCTGTCCAAATTAAGAAAGAGTTCACGTAAGCTCTTAAATAAAGCAATGAAATCGGGTTTGGAACAACACTGGGAATCCTATAAGGATGCCCAAAGGAACTACAAATCTACATTGAAAAAGTCTAAAAGAGAAAGCTGAAAGAAGTTCTGTAGGGATATACAACAACTCCCTATAGCAACTAGACTTCTGCGATCACTAAGGAATGGACCAAACAAATCTGTCGAGGCAGTACTACTGCCAGACGGAATGTTCACCAATAACGATAATGAAACATTATCACATTTAATGAACACACATTTTCCTGACTCTGCAATTAACAACAGAGAACAGGAACATGATGCACAGGACATCGTCCTCCATCTCTGCAAAATATTTAGGGCATGCCTTGCCTATGGTTATCAACCAGAAAGCTGGCGAAAGGTTAGGGTGGTGTTTATAACCAAACCTAACCGCACTAACTATTATGAAGCAAAATCCTACAGACCTATAAGTCTTACTTCTTTTCTTCTTAAGACTATGGAGAAACTTATTGATAGGTACGTCAAGGAGGGGCCTCTTAAGGAGAATCCTTTACATGAAAACCAACATGCGTATCAAACGGGGAAATCTACTGATATAGCTCTACACTGCTTAACCACTAAGATAGGGAAAGCTGTAGAGAATAAAATGTATGCAGTAGGTATATTCCTGGACATCGAAGGGGCTTTTGACAATACTCCCTTAGAAGTAAAGAATGGAATATTAAACACCTGACTGCAAAAGGAGGATTTGTAATGTATACAGATGGATCCAAAAAATCAGGAAAGGTAGGTGCTGGAATTTGGGGTTTAAAGCCACGAATAAATGTCAGTATGTCATTGGGCACAACACTCTCTGTTTTCCAAGCAGAGGTGATGGCGATACTGGTAGGGGCTCAGAACCGGCTAGTATACAAAAATAGGAAGATAACTATCTTCAAAACAAGAAGATGATATTATATTAATGATAAAGTCGCCGCCGGCTTGGACTGGTTCTCGTCACCCGCGGCCACTCGGCGTCGCGTGACCTTTCGGGCGAGGAGAGGTAGCTGTGTCGCAGTCGCCATCCAGTGGCAAAGCCGGAAGTGCAATGCGACCGCGTCAAGCGTCACACCAGCAACAACAACACTCCGGTAAAATTTCCAACAACAACAACCGACATCAAGCAGGCCGTACAGCAACAAACCGGCAACGTATCGTACGCTAAGATCACAGCGAACACAAAAAAAACCTACTCAAACAACAAACTGGACATCAAAAAGATCATTTTATTACTCAGCGACTTACTCACCGCACTAACCACAACAGACAAATCAAAAGAAATAATTACCAAAACTAAAAAAACATTCCTCGCGACCCTCGTCAATCACAATGAATAAAAACATCAAACACCTCCGCATATTACACTGGAACGCCAACGGGATTCAACAAAAAACAGCCAAACCATATACTCTCCTAACACAAACAATTACGGACATAGCACTAATAGGCGAAATCAAACTAGGACCGAATAATACAATCAAAATCAAAAATTATCAAATTTACCGGACGGACGACCCGCGGCATAACAATAGGCGCTTCCTCGGAGGTACCGCTATACTAGTACACAAAAGAATCGTTCACTGTCATATAACATTACCTACAATACTAACCTCAACAACAATAGAAATATCAACAGGCATCAACAAAATTAGAATATCTGCTATTTATAAAAACAACAACAACTACTTCAAACAGACCTAGACATTCTCACCGACCTGTCCACAGATTGGTTCGTAGCAGCAGGCGATCTAAACGCTAAACATCCGTTATGGCATAGTCACACCACAAACGCAGCAAGTAATGTTCTTTTTAACCCTTTGAGTTATTGTGGTATTATATCATCTACTAGCTATTTATTTAATTCTTCTCTCCCCCGTTTAATGCGTACTGCAAATAATGACCCTGATTTTTTAAATTCTTTTTGTTCTTAATGGAGTCATTTAGCCTTTCTTTGTATTTTAAATTTTTGCTTATGTTTTCAATTTTTTCTTCTTGTCCAATTCAATTTTATTGAATTTCATCTAATAATGTTCATATTTCTAGTTTTATGATAATTTTAAGTTGTATATTAACTGTCAATTACATATTGTATTTTTTGGGCTAATGCCTGTATCAGAAACAATAAATAAATAAATAAATAAATAAATATTGAAACCACCTTTTAATTTTTTTTTTTTGCGATTGTGAATTGTAGTATCTTCTTGAAAACCACTGTCAAATAATTTGGTGGTTGCACTGTATTTTTGTTTTTTGTTTTATTGCTCTATTTTCAATTGATTATGATTGACAACAAAATGATTAACACATTTCACGATGTGAAAGTTTTGTATATTTTTTGTGTTTGTATGTGATTTTAAATCGAAAGCTCTCGCAAAACTATTACATTTAATAAAGTAAGTACTTAACAATTATTACATTACA